GGTGTGGAGCCAGGAGCTGAGATTTTCAAAGCTTTGGAGTAGGCCGCCTGAAGCCAAGATTCACCACCTCTTACAACCTGCCCCCAAGGCTTATAGCTAAAATACTCCAAAACTTGCCCCAAAGCATGTAGCCCCAGAGTAGTCTGCGATCCCCCAGTGGACTGGACACAACTTCTTCCTTTCTCTCAACAAGATGTCTTATTAAAAATTCTTTCTTCCTGGGCGGTGCCTGTGGCTCAAAGGAGTAGGGCACCAGCCCCATATGCCGGACGGAGGTGGCGGGTTCAAGCCCAGCCCCAGCTAAAAATTGCAAAAAAAAAAACCCAAAAAACTTTCTTCCTTGGCAATCTTCATTGTGTCTGTACGTGAATCTTTGTGCAAAGAGCAGCTCGACCTAGTACAAAATCCTCTGGTGGTTTCTACAACAAAAACTCTGGCCTTTGGGTGGGGGTGGGAGGGCGGCTTAAGGAAGCTTCATTAAGTAAGCAATATTGATTAAACCCAAGACCATTATCAACTGAACCATCAGCTCCTCTTTTCTCTTTAGGTTAAGGGCTGGAGCTGAAAATCCCCACCCTTTATTTCTGCCTAAGTCTTTCTTTGACTAGCTCCACCCAAAAGCTACCTAGGGGCTGCCAGACCACAGTCAACATTAGCATACAAAAAGACACTTAGCACTTTGAAAATGTCAAGTATTTTAGGAGTTGAATGCCAAGACAATGGGGAGGTAGAACAAGTATCTCGTATACTTTATTATAGCCTAGCACATCTTACTTTACGTGAGATATAGGTCCTTAAAACTTGGTTAAGATCATTTTTTATGTTGGCTCCTATTATACACTGTAGGGCGATTTGTTATTTAAAATAAGATTATTCTTTCAATAATGAAAAATTTTTAAAGCATGTGTTTTACATATGATGGTGGTATACTTTTATAATGAACATATAATGATGTTACTTGCCTGTTGCTTATTGTCTGTATTAGTTTCTATTTCTCATACTCAGCCTAATTTTGAGAAAAAATAATTTTACCCGCACATAATTTCCCCACTGAGGGAAAGTGACTGCCAGAAATAACAGTCCTAAATTTCCAAGCTGCAAAGATAAAGGTATAAGCCATGTTTAGACCCTATCGCCTACAACACTTCTGTTCCTATCTTTCTAGCTATCCTTATCAAGACTTCAGAGACTCTGTCTTGGAGTTCTGCTAACCGAGAGAGAACAAATTTATGACACAGCTGTTGCCAGTTTACCTCTGATCAACGCTATATCCCTACATGTCTGTTCCTCCTTACCACACCCTACAAGTATGGCAGGGGAGGAAGGAGGGAATTAATCAAATAATTACAGCAGCTGGCACTAAAACATTTGAATCATAATGGCTATCAATTTTGTCAAAGTTCCAGTATCTTCCTGCAAAGACACAAAGCACTGTAAATTTACTCTTCCTTAATCAATCAATTCTCTTTTATTTTCCTTTGAACCAAGGGCTGTACCAAAGATTAGAAGTCTGTGAGCCAAGACAGATCAAAGCCAATTGATCCAATTTATTCATGTATACATATATCAATATTTATTGTTCTAAGTACTTAGGGATTCTTTAGAGAGCAAAACAGAATCCCTGCCCTAAGAAACATACAACACCTAATTCTTTAAAATCATAACTAGAAGACGATACATCATGAGCACTTGCTTGTTAAAAAATTCCTCTTAATAACTCTGCATTAGGCTAATACACAAAATAACCACTTTCTTCCGGAATTTAACCAAACAAAAAAACTTACATAACCACAGATTTTTCTACTGTTTTGTACTTTCTGAGGAAAAGAAACACATGACAGGAAAACGAAAGGGGATTTGTTTCGCAAAACTCCCAGGCCTTCTAACAGGGAGAATTTAGGCCAGTGCCTGTTGTCTTCTACAAATCTACATGCAAAATCTATCTGTACCATATATGGGTGTGCATATACGCACATTTTTCAACCAACACTGCTTCCTAAATAGAGTGGAACCTATGAAAAGGAGACCTCTGACTCTTTACATTTGGATACAGGAAGGTGGTCCTGGAGTGAACTACGGCCCTGTAAGCAGAGGGAAATAGTTAAATGACTCTGCATAATAAAATTTAAAATTTTGTATTTGGATTTTAGGGTAGCAATCAGAAAGGTGAGAAAGTGAGGGAGAAGGGCATAAAGACAAGAAGATTCTATGAGTCTGGAGTTCTCCTTTCTTTGATGGTGGCATTTTAAGATGAGATGCCTAATATTCAACGTCAACACTTCTGGCTTTTCTACACTATAAATCCCTCTTCTCCTTCCCCTTTCCCCACATCTGCCATAAAGTTTACCATATCCACAAAGGCTTTAGGTGAACTCTTTTTTTCTTTTCTATTCTTTCCTAGGTCCTGTTGGACATATCTACCCAACAACTGCACCACAAATATCTCCACCACCCATTTAGCACCTCACTGAGTTGATCCAAAATTGAACATCCCTTCCCCACCTCTACCATCAAATTGTTTTTAACAGCTCTTTCTCATATCCTCTAACATTCCACTAGCTCATTAATGTCACCATCTAAAGGAACAACTAATATTTATTGAGCACTTGGAATGTGCTAGGTACTCTGCCAAGGGCATTACATGCGTAATTTCATTTGATCCTCAAACCCAACTAAACGGGTATGGCAATTATCTCCTAAATGTTAGGAAATCAAAACTCAGTTGGTACAGTAATTCTAAAGGTAGGTGACAGAATTCAGCCCCTATTTTAATTCCACAGCAAGCTCAATCAGCACATACCAATGCCTCAAAAAACCTAGGACTCATGCTTCTCTCATTAATCCTATTTAGACACTTACCCAGTCCAGCCTCCTCATCGTACATCCTAAATACCCCATCATTTCTCCTTCCACTTTCTTCACACAGACCAGTAGCATTTACTAAGTCATTACTATATATGCCTATAAACATTTTTTCAAGTTTTATCCCTCAAACTCTAGAGATAAAGAATCTAAGGAACAAAGAGGTTACCCAGCAGGTAGGCCTGATGCCAACCCAGATCTTGTGAATGGAGAACACCTGAGCATTTAACCCCCATTATAAGAGCTTCCAACTTTGTCTAACTTGCATTTGGACCCCCACCATCTTCCAGACTGCTGCAGATATCTTCCTGGAATACAAATGTTATCATGACATTTAAAACTGGCAACTTCTTATCACTGACTGGATAAAGTCCAAATTTCTTAATTTGGTATACAAATTTCTTCATTTTCTTGGTCAAGTCAGTTCAGTAAATATTTGAGTGCCCACTGTAAGCAAGGCAAGGTGTTAAGTGCTCTGAAATGAACTCGCCAGCCCCTGACTACTACTTCAACCCCAGACACTGTGTCCTTCAGCCAGGCTGGCCACATGCAGATTTCATAAAGCAATATCCTAAAGATACATGCATTTATTTGCAAGTGGCCTATACTTGCCTGCAATTTGAAAAGTGCCTACGTTAGGCCTTCTTGAACAAACTCCAGGCAGAAATGCTCTCTCTTTAAGCTCCCACAGCACTTTATCCAAATTACTTTTGGAAACTAGTGGAAGAGAGGTATAGATCAGTTTGCAAAAGAAGACTATGAGCAACTTCTGGGCAAGAACCAACCTCTGCAATTGATGCCTGGCATGCAGTAGGCACTTTAACAGTGGCTACGTCAATAAATAATGAAAAATTTCAAAGTCGATGAGACAGGCAAGATATAAATTAAGAATGTTAACACACAAGTGGGTTGTATTAAATGTAATGTATACTACTTTGGTTCTGATCTGGCCTACATTTTACACCTAGGGAAAACTCACATGTGGGACTTGGACAAGCTAAAAAGGCAAAACTTTGATACTTAACAAAGCTTTGACAGGCCAAAAGGATCGGAGATTTCTACTTCCTTCCTTACTTGCCAAAGACCATTTTCAAAGGGGTGTTGTGGAAATCAAATCTATCAAGGTAAATAAAATTGATCTACTGAGAACCAGCTTCATCAGTGCTGCATCGCAATACTTGCAAAAGAAAAATCAAAATGCATCCTGGGAAGAAGGCCAATTTACAAGTACTATTGCTGCAAGAATGTAAAATTCTTACAGTGAAGGCAGTCCAATAAACGGGAGCTCGCAACTATTTCCTCCCCTGCACCGCCACCGCTTCTCACTCAACTTTGTTTTCTGATTTCTGTGATTTCAAAAACATGAATCTATACAGTGGAAGCCTATGCATGTGTGTACTTTAGCTCCTGACAGATAGGAACACAACCTTAAATGTAAACCGAAATACTAGAAGAAACACTACATGTAAGTCAAAAGTCCATGTCTAAAACGTGGCAGAAAGCTTTGAAAAGAGAATGATGTATTTCCCGAATGGTGCTTTGTGTGCAACTGCTTCGAAAACTAGATCCGTATTTTGAAATTACCCCCTGGAAGATATTAAATCTCTCTTCCACCCTCTCCAGCCTTTTAAAGGGAAAGGTGAACTGATAGGCAACAGGCTGGGGCGAAGGGAATGTTTCCTCCCCATTCCGTTCCAGAAGATCAAAATCCGATGTGGAGGCAGCTAGTGCCAATCTCCTTACCAACAACAGAGAGACACAGAAGATTTAAAAACTCATCCCCGCCTCTCCCTTCCCTTAAAAAGCAAACGACGCCGAGATCTGCACCACGGTGGCCGGAACCACCAAATGCTACCAGTCGGGGGCAGCCCGCCTTCCAAGCGCGTGCCCAGCGGCGGGCTAGGGACGCAGGGCAGCCGGCTCTTCCTCCCCGGACCAGCGCGGCCAGCCCCACACCTGGGTCCGTGTTGCCCCCGTAGCCCGGGAGAGCTAGGAGAGCCGCGGAGGACGGCGGCGCCGCTCCGGCCGGCTCCCGGGGCGCGGCGCTGCCCCACACCCCGCCGACGCCCGCACCTGAGGCGGCCGCCCGGAGCCGGGGAGAGGGCGCGGAGCGAGGCGGGCACCGCAAAGTTACTCACTGGGAAAGCGCGGCTGCCCGGGGCGCGCTCGGGCTCCCGCCGCCGCAGCCCAGCGCCAGCTTCCTCTCTCCGCGGTCCCCTGAGGGAGCAGGGAGGCAGTCGGTCTCTGCTCCACCGGGAATCTCCGCCGCCGCCGCGGATTTCCTGGCAAGAAGCAAACTCTGGCCAAGACTTCACTTCTCAACCGCCCCTGCTGCCTTCCCGGGGGCGAGCGCCGGGGCCGAGCGGCCCAACCCGACATTCACTCGGACCAATCGGTGGTAGCACAGGGCGGGAGAGAGGCGGGCCAGAGGGCAGCTCCACCTATCCAAGAGCTCAGAGGGCGGGCCAGAACGGACCGTCACTCCCGGGTTAGAGTGAGCCCACTCCGCCCCTGGTCGCCTGCCCTCCCCCACCCGCCCTGGGCTGTCCCCGCTGCTTGCCTGATTCCCCTGCAGAAGACGCGCTGGAGAAGTGTGTGCGCGCTGCCCGGACCACCGCGAGCGGAGTCGAACAGCTGGGGAGGGAGCGCACTTCTAGGGGAATTGGGGGCGAGAGGGAGCAAGGAGAACAGGTGGCGCAGGGAAGAGAAATGTAGGTATGTTTGGTCAGAGGACCGCTGGGGTAGGGCAGGGACCCGGGCTGGCCCTGGGAAAGGAAAAGTGGTGATTGGTGACGGACAGCATTTGAAGAAGAGGAGAGAGGGGCGGTACAAAAGGAGGGCGAGGGCGGAGAGCGGGTCTTGTGGTGAAAGCTTGCCTGGGCCGCGTCTGGGACACCTGGGAACAAAGGTGAGAGGCAGGTTCCGCAGGTAAGTAGGTTTAAGGAGCCAAAAGGGTAAAGGGAAAAGGAAGTCCATAGCGGGGGAGGATTACTCCAAGGTTAGGGAGGATCCTAGAAAAGAAAGGAGGAAGTGAGGGACAGTGTTCTCCCAAACTCTTGCTCATCCCCCAAAGAGAAAACAAACGCTTGTCCTGTAACCCAGGTGAAAAGTGCAGCTGGAAGACCCAGGCAAGACAAATACCGTCTGAAACCTTTCTATTATGTTGTGAAATGCATCTGTTCGTACATTAGTCCCTTCCTTTTTCAAGGTGTATTTGTCAACTATACCCTAAACCTGTTGTTTCCCAGGAAAGGTCTTTGAGGGTTAAGGTCCCGGGAAGGGCCAACCTGAGGGTAACACCGTTCTCCCACCAGGTCTAGCCGCAGGCAAAAACAGGCCCGACTCCTTAGTAGGAAGGTGATTTGGGGGCTACAGGTAAGGCCCCGCCCCCTTCACCTCCACCTTGAGGAAGGTACCAAAAGCTGAACTCCAGCTGCTACAGGCTCGTAAGGACCTGGGGGTGTGATGGGCGCTGACCCCGCCCCCCCGCGGGGGTGCGCCAGGTAAGCCGCCCCTCGCCTCGCGCTGGGGGTGGGGCCTTGGGGCGGAGCCTCTACGCCCCGCCCAGCGACCGGTCCCCGCCGCGCCGCTGCGGCTCCTCCTCCCTCCTTCCGTCCTCAGCTCCTTCCGTCGGTGGTTCTTTTCTTCCTGCTTCGCCTGCACGCTTCGCGGTATGGGGCAGAGCCTCGAATCCGCCAGTACCTCCTGAGGATCCTGAAACCACCCCCGCGATGGAGGAGGACCAGGAGCTGGAGAGGTAACGGCCGAGGAGGCGACCGGGCGGAGCGGGCCGCGCCCAAGGGGAGCGGGTGGCCTAGAGGGGCACGCGGCCCGGCCGGGGCCCGGCCTCTAAGGCTGGGCCTGGCGGCAAGGGCCTGACTCGGGGCGCTGAGAAGAGAGAAGAGATAGGGAAGAGAAGGGGGGCCGAATTCGTAAAAGAGGGGAGGAGACATGAATGTGTTTGGATTGAGACGCTCAGAGATGTACACTAGTTATCAAGGAGGGAAGTCAAGTTCAGAGACCAGAGCTAAAGTCCCCACGCTGCCACCCCCACTTAGGAAAGCAATATGTAAAGTCACGCCACAGTTTCCGGAGTAATGGTAGTAGTGTGTTCAGTCACGTCTTTATCCCTGTAACTACCACTCTGTTCCCTCTCTGTGCACACTGCTCATGAAGCCACTCCTATGCGCTGAGCCTTTCTCTCTCCTGCTTGTCTCTTGGACCTTCCATTCTCCTAGCTCCCTTACCTCTTGCAAATGGAAGCCATAGTTGGGCCTGCAGATTGGTAATGTTAATAGCCTCTATTTTTACATTAGAGCGATCTGTTTTTCTAATCCTTTCATCAACCTTTTCATCCTCCAGCAGGGCCCACCCTATTTTAATCCTATCCCTTTCTTGTGACACTACCAAAAGAATATCTTTGGAAACATGTTTTACTGAGAGGACGCCCCTTGTGGCCAGTTTGGATGGTCTAATGGAGTAGAGAAAAACTGGAAGCAATAAATTAAATATTTGATAGATTTTATGGAGGTAGAATGAGAGGCTAATGGTTCTATGTAACTGGAGTAGATTAGTGTAGTAATTGTTGTTGTAATCATGACATTGTAAATGAAAAGACCTAGTTATAAAACAATATTCAGTATGATCTCATTTTTATAAAAAATGTGTGTGTAGAAAAATATCTGGATTGAAGACCTCAATGGCTGAAGGCGAGAGGAAGACAGCCCTGGAAATGGTCCAGGCAGCTGGAACAGATAGACACTGTGTGACATTTGTATTGCACGACGAGGACCATACCCTAGGAAATTCTCTGCGTTACATGATTATGAAGAATCCAGAAGTGGAATTTTGTGGTTACACTACGACCCATCCTTCAGAGAGCAAAATTAATTTACGCATTCAGACTCGAGGTGCTCTTCCAGCTGTTGAGCCATTTCAGAGAGGCCTGAATGAGCTCATGAATGTCTGCCAACATGTACTTGACAAGTTTGAGGCCAGCATAAAAGACTATAAGGATCAAAAAGCAAGCAAAAGTGAATCCACATTCTAGTTCCTTATGCAGTGTACAAAGAGGATTGTCCTCTCAAGACTATTCTCTTTATGATCACACAAAACCCAGAATTAGAAGTTTGTGATTACACCATGCTTTATCCTTCAGAAAAGTATGGTTCTGATTAATGATCCATTACAGCTGTTGGAATACCTGCAAGAAACTTTGTATTCTGCTAATAAATTCCCTCTTTTATTTATACTAGTTTGAGTGGTTTCTGTTCCATGCAACCAAATAATCCTCAAAAATGACTTTTTCTTTTAAGTTAACATGAAAAGTGAGGAAACTATGAGAAAATCAAGGGCCCAGACGAGAACTGTTATGCAAATTAAGGAGAGTATACATTCATGTCTGTGATTGGGGGGTGGGGAGGAAAGGGTTGATGCAATAGAGCATGCCTCTGGATAGACTGGTTGGTTTAAAAAAGAAGGAAAGAAGGGTGGGTGGGGACTGGCTTCTTGCTACATTTTTTTGGTGAGTTAACAGAATTGCATCATTTGCTATGCTTGGTAGATTAGGTGAGGTTGGAGAATAATTTGAAAGAGTTGTGAGAAATCTCATTGTATTTGAGAGTTTGGGTGGTTAGGGCCTCATCTAAGAAAGATACCAGTTTACTGGTTGGATATCAGAATACTGATAAAATATTTAATCATGACCTAATTAGAACAAAAGAGTTTGACTATGTTATAGGAGGAGAAAACTGGGTTGACCAGGTAACATTTTCAGGGATTAGGTAGGTGCCTAAGTATAGCCTAGGATTTCATAGAAGAAAGCACTATTTGAAAGAAAGTAAAGCCAGGGAGAAGGAAAATTCCATGTAAGGGAAATAACTTTTTTGAAAACTTAAAATATTAGTGACTCATATTTTATCTATTAGCTACCTCGCCTACCGCAATTTGATTCTTTTTCTTTTTTCTTTCTTTCTTGAAACGAGTCTCATTCTGTTGCCCTAGGTAGAGTGCCATGGCATTAGCCTAGCTCACTACAAGCTCAAACTCTGGGCTCAAACATCCTGCCTCAGCCTCCCGAGTAGCTGGTACTACAGGTGCCCACTCACACCTGGCTAACTTTTTTATTCTTGGTAGAGACAGAGTCTCACTTTGCTGAAACTAGTCTCCAACTCCTGAGTTCAAATGATCCTTCCACTTTGGCCTCCCGTAGTGCTAGGATAACAGGTATGAACTAGCACACCTAGCCCCTAATTGAACCCAAGCAGCCTACTCCCCAGTGCTTTGTGCTTTGGGGCCTTTGTTTATGCTATTCCCTCTTCAGGAGCAGTCTTATTCCTGCCATACTGTAAGTTAAAACCTCTGTCAGACTCTGGCCTAGTTTGGGTACTTTGTGCTTTCATTATACCCTGTGTTTCCTGGTCTTGGCATTTACTATGTTACTGTTAGTACTTATGTTGTCTACACATCATACCAACTTGCAGATTAACATGATTCTGATAGCACAAAGCCTAATAGGCGTAGACATTCATAAAGTAAGTACTGTAAGAATACATGTAGATAGTTGGGCACATAGCCTTTCAGTCACTCAAATCCAACCTACTACCTGTCATCAAGCCTACATTTTCTATACTCAGTCAAATTTTTTTTTTTTTTTTTTTTTTTGCCATTTTTGGCTGAGGCTGGGTTTGAACCCAACACCTCTGGTATATGGGACCAGCGCCCTACTCTTTGAGCCACAGGCACCGCCCTCAGTCAGATTTTTAAAAGATATTTCTCTATTTATTAAGCACTTGGTATATTCCTATTCTTATAGAGCATGTGTTATAATAGGAGCAACTTTTTTTAAAGTTGTTATTGTGGAAACTATATAAAATCAGATAGAAAACATGAGAAAAGAATCTGTGTTAGGCGCAGAAGTCAGAGAAGGTATTCCAAGATTACAAGCAGAAAAGGAGCAGGCTATGCAAAAAAGTGAAAATGTGTTCTGGGAGAATAGCACATACAAAGGTCCTAAAGCAGAAAACTGGTGGTTTAATGAAAGTACTGAAAGAAGATGTGAATGTTTGTAACATAATAGACGAGAGGGGAAAGGGCTCCTCCTTTGGAGTTGATGGAAGGAACTGTTGAGGTTGGTAGGGAATTTGAGTACAATGGGAATGACATCTTGATCATTCTGATTGCAGTTTGCAGGGATGGATTATAGGGAGTCCAGAGTAGAAGCCGAGACACTATAATAGTTAAAGTGGCTTGGAAGAGTGGAAGCTAAGGGAAAGAGAAGGTAGATTTCAGGTATATTTTAGAATTGAGTTGACACAGAATTGGTATACCTGAGGAACTGGATATTGAAAGTGAGGAAACATGACTACTACAGGGACTGATCACTGACATAGGGAAGTTTAAAGGGAAAAATAGGTTGAAAGCTGGAAAAGATGACAGGAATCAAAAGTTCCATTTCAGGCATTGCAGGCAGTGGACATATGTGAGTTGGAGGTCATGGAAAAGATCTAAACTGGAAATAAACTTTACATCCCTTAAAGATGTAAATCTATTGGGAAAAAAAAAATGGAGAACAAAGGAGGCCTAGGAACAAGCCCTGGACAACCTCAGCATTTAAAGGTTGGTTCAAAGAATGGCAACCAGTGAGACACCAGGAAAGTCTATAAGAAGTATTTGAAGCCAGAGCTTTCAAATAGGGGAGAGTGATGTTCAGTGAGTCAGAGGAGCACAGAAAAATGTCATCTGGAGTTAACATGGAGGTCACTGGGCAGTGGCAGCATTAGTCTATTGCCTAAGAAGAATAAACATTAACACTCATACTGAGGTCTTAGTCTGGTGTTCCAACAAAGGAAATATATGAAGGACATCGGAGAAATGAGCTGAGGTGGGAGCAGTGACGTCATGGCACAAAGCTGGAGAATATTTTCCTAGGGTGATAAAGAGATTCTGGAAAGCCATTGTTAATGTAAGGGACTTAGCCCTTGAAGATACAAAGAAGCCCAAAAGGCATGTGGAAAAGGATCAAAAACTTATGTGCATCTTCCAAAACTTTGTCTATGTTTTGACCATGAGAATAGTAAACAGCATTATTTGCATGGAGTTTAATTCCTCTGAACCAATCCTTGTGAGGAAATGAAAGCAAAGTTTAAATTAGTGGACATAGCGGTATAGAATGATGATAGTAGATGGGAGTAATTAATAACAGTGCACATAGGAAATGCACCCACTGGTGACCACCCACCACATCCCATGACTTCATTGCACCTAAAAAGATATGTTGTCATTGGTCCTGTGGCATGCAGTCTTGAATCTTCAAGGTAGCCATAAACCCACTGGTTCATACAAAACACTTTGAGAAGGCAGATGGGTACAGGGAATAAACTGCAGGCAGCAGGGCCAGGTAGGTTAACCAAGAGTCCTATATATGTGGAAGGAATCATTGCATAATGTGTTCAGAGAGACTTGAGGGAAGGCTGAGTTAGTCTAAAACAGGGTGAGGAAGATGAATGTGAAAAAATCTCTGATTTGTTCTCTAATAGCATTTCATTCTAACTTAATACTAATGATTCAAGAGCAGATATTCTGTTCATCTGTAAAATACTATGCCTTTTAAAGAGCCAGTTATTAAATAATATGATTACATATCAAAAGCTTTTAATGTATAGTAATTCTGAGTACCTGCTTAGCACTTTTATTTTCAAAGCACTTTACAATTTATAAATGCCATAGCCCTGTAACTTTTAACTGCTCTAATGAGTT